ATTATACAGAACAAGGTAATCTGGCCTCAGCATGGGCAGCATGTTTCCTCACTGGTGTAGGATTACAAAAGCCTGCGTGTTTTATTTGCAGTAGTGCATGTCTGTGCTGTGTGATACCAAACCAGGCTGTAAGGTAAGACATCTGCCCTGTGGCTTTGGTTAATTTATACAAGTAGTCATTATGCCCAGCTCTAGCACTCTCTGTCATTCTCAAGTTTTATCAATTACAATTCTATATTTTGTATTTATATTATATTTATAATTTATTATGTTTTATATTTTTAAACTGGTGACATTGTTGAATAGCATTAGGTTCTGATGCTGTAGAACTGCATGAAGGGTGTCCAAGCAGTGGTGATTCCTTGTCAACAAAGAGATCTTCAGGATCTGTCATTTTCCAGTTCTTAACTCTTCGTCTGCTCTACAAATGTTGTGTAAAGCAAACTTTACACCGCAGGGCTGTGCCCCCCAAATTGTTCTGCAGAGCCACCTGACATTGCTTCTGCCTCGTGCATCAATCAAAGCATAGAGGGCAGAGGAGCAGAAATAGCAGTGGACAGGCCTGGCTGCCATCACTCATGCAGGGGACTGTGCAGCTCATGTTTAGAAAGGACAAAACCCCAACAATGGCCAGCCCCGGCTCGTCAGAAGCGATCACATCAGAGGCACGATCTCAATGAGAGCCAGCGAGACGTGGCTGCTGGAAGTGACTGCAGCATTGTCCGTGCTCACCCACACGGCAGGGCTGGGGCTGCAGGGAGCTGGGGCTGCAGGGCTGGGACTGCAGGGAGCTGGGGCTGCAGGGCCGGGGCTGCAGGGCATTGGGGCTGCAGGGCACTGGGGCTGCAGGGAGCTGGGGCTGCAGGGAGCTGGGGCTGCAGGGCACTGGGGCTGCAGGGAGCTGGGGCTGCAGGGAGCTGGGGCTGCAGGGCTGGGGCTGCAGGGCATTGGGGCTGCAGGGAGCTGGGGCTGCAGGGCACTGGGGCTGCAGGGCATTGGGGCTGCAGGACATTGGGGCTGCAGGGCATTGGGGCTGCAGGGCTGGGGCTGCAGGGCACTGGGGCTGCAGGGAGCTGGGGCTGCAGGGCACTGGGGCTGCAGGGCTGGGGCTGCAGGGCCGGGGCTGCAGGGCTGGGGATGCAGGGCGCTGGGGCTGCAGGGCGCTGGGGCTGCAGGGAGCTGGGGCTGCAGGGCGCTGGGGCTGCAGGGACCTGGGGCTGCAGGGCACTGGGGCTGCAGGGCATTGGGGCTGCAGGGAGCTGGGGCTGCAGGGAGCTGGGGCTGCAGGGCATTGGGGCTGCAGGGAGCTGGGGCTGCAGGGAGCTGGGGCTGCAGGGAGCTGGGGCTGCAGGGCACTGGGGCTGCAGGGCGCTGGGGCTGCAGGGCTGGGGCTGCAGGGCTGGGGCTGCAGGGAGCTGGGGCTGCAGGGCGCTGGGGCTGCAGGGCACTGGCCCTGCAGGGAGCTGGGGCTCTCAGTGCCTGTGAGCAGGCAGGGGCTCATGGACAGACAGACCTTGGCTGCTTTGCCTGGGGCAGCAGAGCCCCTCACACTGCCCTGGACGTGCCAGGCACTCCTGTGACCCATAGGGGACTGAGGGGAGGTGTGCCAGTGTCATGGGCAGCTGTGGCCCAGAGTGGGGAGTTCTGCCCCTGCTGCAGGCACTCGGGGCTGGACTCACAGGCCTGAATCTGGGAAACCTGCAAGGGAGGACAGATGTGACCAAGGAGGAAGAACCTTTGGGTAGCAGCAGTTCACTTGGTGCCTTCCTGGACTGATGTCACAACATGAACTAAGATGTTTTGTGGTTAAAGAGGTTTCAAAAGGCTTCAAATTTCTTGGTTATTTTGGCATTCTTATTTTTCCTGAGATCATTAAATTTGACGAGGATGGGGAATCGTAAATTCCTGAGTTAAGACTTCTGAGAGTGTAATACTTCAAGTAGTAAAACACATCTCTAGCCTGCATACTGGGGAAAGAGAGGGCTGAGCAGGAAGGAGGAGCCAACCTGTAAACAGCAATAGCTCAGGTAACTCTTGCAGTCCTTTAATTAACACTTCTAGTCTCTGGAGCCCAGCTTTGGTGGCTGTTTAACTAGTTTGGAGGGATTGGGATCATGACTGTTGAACTGTGGGGATTTTCTTGAAAAACACTCACAATAGCAGGAAAAAAAAGTAAACTGAAAGCAGTGGCATAGTGTCATCTTAGCTTCATCAGGGTTCTGCTGTGCACGGGGTCAATTGCCAAACCTGCTAATGCAGAGTGAAGATTAATTGGCTTTGGTCAGCCTTTGCTTCACCATCTGAATATCATTATCAGGAATATAAATGATTATGCAATGCAGAGAAATGCCACAATAGTCTCAGTGTCTCCTTTTATACTTGTCTCTTTGTGAACAGGGCTTTATCTAAATGCAAATGTGATTTCAGCCTTCTGATTAGGACATTATACAGTCATCCATTCCAGAAAAGCACAATTAGCGGATTATTTTACTTCTGACTCAACAGTTCTTGGTGTAGATAGTTTGTTTGTTGTGCTGTGCACGATATTTAAGTTATCAGAGGGAGATTTACATTATTAGTCAGGATTATAGCCAGATTTTATGAGGTTGAGGTTTTTGTGTGGCAGATAAAACTGGTAACATTTGTGGGATTGGAGGGGAGATGTTTTCAGAACAAAAGGCAACAGTGCAGATTCTTACTGTGCTGCATTGTCCTCTTTGTGCCGAGGAAGGGGCAAATCACAGCAGAGGCTGTGCAGATTCTCCAGTGCATCGGGGTGCACAAGAGCACAGGGCAGCATTACCTGTTGTCAGGGTCTAGTCCCTGTTGAGGTGTGCTTGTACAGGGCACCAGCATCTTAGAACTCAACAATGGGCAGCTCATGAGATTATTTATTATTAAACAGCCACTTTAAAAACAGCCGTGAAGTTTTCCATGTGCTGTGGTAGATTTCCAGTGAAGTTTTCACTGGATGAAGTTACATCCTAAGAAAAACACAGATCTTTTGTGATAAACTTCCCTGTGAAGCTTGCCCATATCACAGCATTTGAAGCATTTTTGGAGCTGTGAATCTGTCAGAACTCAGGTGGTTTGGTTTTTTAATTTGAATATGAGAGCCCCATAGGAATTTAAGTTTGATAATAGATGGGGTGAAGATTTCCATCTTCAAACCTTTTAGAAAGTCCAGTATTTATGAAAGGCGAAGGATGAAAAAAATTCATCCGTGCAAATGTATTTGTCACACAATTTGAATTCAACAGCTCATCATTTTCCTATGAAAAATTACTGCAGTGGAAAATTCCTAATTATCTATGGTGAAACATTTTCAATTCCATTGATCAGCTTCATCTTTCCATATCCATATGTTTCCATGACTGGTTCCTTCCTCTCTCCCAGAGCTGCTTTTCTGTGTGCTGGAGCAAGCTGCCCTGGACAGTCCCAGCACATGAGGGATCTTTGCATTTGTGACAGGAAATCTATTGCACCACTTAGGTTTAATTAGAGCACAGTGACATATGATGAGTTTACACTTCAAAGCCTAGAAACAACTTCACAAATTGGCTCTAGTCCCAAAGTGTATTTTGGGATCTGTATTGAATTTTGGGATGTTTCACTGTATTAAGTGGGAATATGTGAAATGCAGGGTTGAGTTCTTAGGGTCAGTGGAATTATACAAATTCTTACCAGCCAAGAATATACACCCAAATACACGCACAAAAAACGCGTGTAAAGTTAAATTTGGGTACAGATCAATTTGAATCCAACTACATATTCCAGTTTTCTGTTTTAGATGATAAAAACTTCTCTCTCATGGAGAGAAGGGCAGGGAATAATTTAGTCTATGTTAGCAGTCACATTTTGGAGTTGCTTGTCTTTCTGCTGCTTGAAGGGAAATCAGGGATCTCTCAGCCGACTGTTGGGCGTGTAATCACCTCCCCTACTTGAATGCCAAAGTGAAATTAATCCAAACCAAAAATGCATGGAGTTGATGCCCAGCATAGGTTTCACTGCAAAGGGAAAAGGATATTTTACAGAGAAAAACATTGGAAGAAAACAAGAGAGGAATGTGTTGAAGCTTGGTGGTATTTGGATCCCATTATGATGGGCATTTATAGGTACACAGGGAGGAGATTTTCCCCACTGCAACAAGATTTAGTCTGTGCAAATGTACAGCCAGGCATGTAATAGCTGTCGTGGTGTACTCTGAAATACATTGGGCTAAAGGACTTGAATTACTTACGAAAGAGGAAAAAATTATTTCAAATAATGAGTAGGTATCATAATGGGTGCTAAAACAATGGCATGCACCTACTTCATTATTCAGTTGTTTATTTATTATCTCTATTCTTAAGAGTAATGATGTAAAAAGTGCCTTTTTCCAAATGTTAATTTAGTTCTTTGCAGATGGCAACCATCTGTTAAATGACAAGGCATTTACAGTCTTTGATTAGCACTTTATAGGACTTGGATGGACTTACTGTTACGACATGTAAATATAGTTATGGAAGTGAAACTTGGTAAATTTGTTCTTTTCCTGTTGCTATTACCAATACATGTAAAATCTCAAACCTAACAATGTTTCTTTCTGTCTTCTGCTATGTTTATCTGTGTTGTTTCCATCTGAAGCCTTGAAATTCTTGACAGAATGACAAAATAGGAAATATTGTTAAATTCCAGCACCATTTGTAGCCATTATGAGCATCCTCATTCTAAAAAGCCACCATGTGGATGAACTCCTGGGGACAAGGGAGGCACTGGCAGTTTGAAGGACTTGAGGGATCCTGGCTGTGGGCTGTGATACAGGTTTGGGTACTCACCGAAAGTCACCCTGGCAGTCCTTGTAAAGCACCGTGGCTCACGTGGCTGTTCCCATCACCGAGTGATCCTCAGGAGTGACTCTGCACTTTGTGCTTTACTCCCTTGAGCAGGGACAGCCAACCCCCGTCTGTCCATAACCTCAGCAAGTTCTCATTCATTTCCTGTTGGGGTTTATTCTAAAGTTTTGCAGGTTCTGCTGCCGAGCCTCAGTCTGCCGGGCCTGTTCTCGCTGTCGGTTTATTTCCGTGCTGTCGGTGACGCTCACGGTGTCGTGCTTCGTTCTCCGCGTGTTGCAGAGCCGCGGGCCCGGCCATGTCCCCGCTGCCGGAGGCGGAGCTGGTGCGCAGCTCGGTGCAGCTGTACCGGTACCTGCTGCGCTGCTGCCGCCGCCTGCCCGCGGGGCCCGTCCGGCAGCACTACCGCCACGCCATCCGCCAGGTGCGTCCGGGCTCTTCTGCCGCCGAGCCAACAGAAAGGGCCCTCCTGCGGCCTGGGGACCGGAGTGCACCTCAGGGGTATAGTGGGAGCGAGTGAGGGACCGTTTCTTTGTTGGTTGCTTTGAATCTGAAACCTATTTCTCTTGCCTTTCATCTCTAATTCTTGTGCTAGTCAAGACAGTGAACAGTCATTACTTACTCCATGAACACATAATTTATGGTGAAGCCTACTGGTTGCACGTCAGTCATTTATATATCCCCCCCCCTACTGGGGTAAATCTCATCTGGCTGTTCATATTCTATACTTCATATGGAGGTAATTTCATGCCTTTGATCATACTTGTTGTCCTCTTTCTAGTTTTAACGTCCCAGACAATTTCAGTTGTTCTGAATTGAAGTTCTCTGGGGTTTTTGTTGTTGATGTATGAAAGGAGTAGAATACTTAACAGAAAATTCCATACGGCCAGGTGTTACAATGTGTAGTTTTACCTTTTTAGACCATCCGTTTATTTGCAACAAATATTTTTCTGAGATTTCAATGCTATCTTTATTTTGACAACTGTTGTGTTGACAAGTCAATGACACTTGGAATGTTGCAGAGTTTCAAAGTCCATGCTGATGAAGATGATCCTGTGCGAATCCAGCAGATCATTAAAAGAGCCATTGAGGATGCTGACTGGGTGATGAATAAAGTAAGTGCTTGGGACTGTCTGCATTTTGGTTTCAGAACAAAGAAGAAAACATTGGAAAGCAAGTTCTGAATAGCGAATTGTTGTCCTGGATGTTGAAGTGTCTGGGTGAAAGGAAATACCCAGCCAGGAGGGATCTGTGATTTGTGATTGATGCTTTTTGTCTGAAAATTCTCTTAGTCAGCATAAACCAATGGTGGGTTTTTTTCAGAACCAGTAACAATTTAGGTTGGTCTCTGTGTAAGTCTTTGTTTCCATGTAGAATTCTATTAATTATCAGCAGTGGTGGCTAGTATCACTGTTGTAGGAGAAAAAATTAAAATACAGCATTTTGCAAGCCATATCTTGCTATGCATCATCTGCTTTCCTAACAGCATCTATCCTCAGACAATTTACATGAACTTCCAGAACTACTGTTGCTTTTCCTCGGACCTTGCCCATGGCTGCAGAGATCAGGGATGGACCACACATGGCAACGCGGTGGTGCTGGGCTCCCCTGTGCACAGTTGTCACCCAGTGGATCTGCCCCTGTGCTGTCAGACTGGCTTCTCAGATGAAGGAATGAGAATGGTTTCCATTAGACAGCTGAGAGTCACCTGTGCTTCCTGGGATTTCAGTCTGGCTGGGGAGTGTGATACCTTAACATGGCGTATAATGAAACAAGTCAAAAGTTCAACTTTCTCTCTAAATATCTGTGATTTCATTTACTAAGTGACTGTTAAGTCCTTCTCTCTGCCAGTCCATGAAATCCAAATGAGAATTGTTACAGGAGCAAACACAGATTAATCCCAGATTATGATATTTTAGCAGTAACCAAATCCCAGCAGGTACAATCTAGTCAATAACTGTGCCTGATTTATTGTTTTATACTGCAAAGGGAAAGCCTACCAAATTTCAATCTAACCTAAAGAAAATGGACATAAATTGATGTGGATCATGAAGAAGAGTTGTAAATCCTTGTTGGTATGAACTTTTACTTAGTTATGTGCCTTTTCCCACAAAAAAAATTCTTTTTTTTTTTTTTTTTCAGTATAAAGACCAGAAGTAGAAGAGGAAGGATGAAACCAGGGAAGACATTGGTAAACATCCTTAGAGGACTTGCAGTCAAGCGCAGTATTATATTAGAATTATTGCCTGAAGTTTTGTGTTGGATAATATAAATACAATAATTTATATTTCACTGGGATGTCATGAAGCTAAATTAATATTTCTGAAGAAATTTAATTTTGTAAATTGCTTTGTATAATCACGTACTTCTAAGTTAAATCCCAAGCTTGCCTAACATTTGAGTAACTTATTCCATTATACTGTTAGGCCTGGCTCAACGCTAGCAGTGTGTGATAAGGCTTGTTGTGCAGGTTCTTTGGGGACAAGGTGCCCCTGCATCACTCACCGTGGATTTGGGGACTGAGCGTTTCATCCTCTGTGTGTGGGACACTGGTTATGGCTGGCACTCTGCTGGGTCACATCGGCCTCTGCTGGGACAGTTGGTGTTAGAGTGCTGCCAGCTGAGTGGGGTCAGTGCCAGCTGAGTGGGGTCAGTGCCAGCTGAGTGGGGTCAGTGCCCACTGAGTGGGGTCAGTGCCCACTGAGTGGGGTCAGTGCCAGCTGAGTGGGGTCAGTGCCCATTCCGCCGGGTCTGTGTCATGTGCGATGCTCTGCAGCTCAGAGGCATCACCAGGCTTTGTAGCACATAATAAATGTCCATTAAACATTTATTGTGTGGGGGGTCTGTGTCCTTGTGGAGCAGCCCGCCCCGCAGTGCCGGGCTGTGTTTGCCAGGGAGGGCAGCGGGGCACAGGCCCGGGGTGTGCTCGCAGTGCCGGGCTGTGTTTGCCAGGGAGGGCAGCGGGGCACAGGCCCGGGCTGTGTTTGCCGGGGAGGGCAGCGGGGCACAGGCCCGGGGTGTCCCCGCAGTGCCGGGCTGTGTTTGCCAGGGAGGGCAGCGGGGCACAGGCCCGGGCTGTGTTTGCCAGGGAGGGCAGCGGGGCACAGGCCCGGGCTGTGTTTGCCAGGGAGGGCAGCGGGGCACAGGCCCGGGGTGTGCCCGCAGTGCCCGCGCAGCTGCAGTTGCGGCGGGCCGCCGGCAGGTGGCGGTGCCGCCCGGCGCCGCTGTCCCGGGGCGGGGCCGGGCGGGGCCGGGCGGGGCAGGGATGAGCTCCGGGCTCGCCAGAGGCGAGGGGAGTTTGGTAAGGCTGCCCCAGAAATGGGGCTGCCACTGAAATCCACAACGTATTCTATCAAAAAAATTCCTTTTCTCTGCTAACCCTCCTCTCCTGAAATTCCTGCTCTCTGTTACACTTCCCTCTGCCATCGCCAGTACTGTTCCTCTCTCTGCTCCTGTGTATTTCACGTCACCCTTATGCACCTTTAACTTTTGTTGTCTTTGTTTTACCTATTCCTTAATGCTGTTCTCATCTTGTCTCTTTACCCCTCTTATTTCTCCTCCTCAAGTCCTTTTCTGCACCAGATGATACTCAGTATTATTCTGGAGCCCGCCTTCTGCTTAACTTCAGATAAAGCAGGAAGGTGATGGGCTTTCTCAACAGAGTAGGTGTTTCTCCATGTGAGGAAAGCCACTTGTCTTTCTACCTAGGTACATTTTTTTTTTAATTGCAGCCATTTTGGTTTAAACTTTCAAAATAATTTTGTGCAAGGTAGAGCACAGAAAGCTTCAACCTTGGCAGTTGACAAGGAATATCCAGTATGATCTTGAACACTAATAAAAAAGCTCTAGCATTTTTGGTAGAAGCTCTCTGAATGTGCTGCTTCTGATCAAGACCAGCAAACAGGTGACCTGTGCTGTTCTCCAGGTCTGTTCTGTGTGTGTGCTCTATAGCATAGAGATGCACTGAGTTTTGTATCATTGCAATGGTGATTAAAAACTCTCAGACTTAGTGGGATTAACAGTGTATGGAAGCATGGCAGTTTCCTGAACTTTAAAAGTGGAGTGATCACACCCCTCTATGGCTTTAATTGACTTCTGGTAGTGTGAGATGTAGTATTTTGTTCAGTTACAAAAAGTATAATTGCATGTGTTTAAATCATTCTTACATGCCTGTTATTTAATTTATGGCTAGTTCAAGAGGGAAAGGACCATGGAGCTGGAAGGTACAGCTATGGCTTGTCTGGAGCTCCAGATGTCTGAGGTGCCAGCTGGGATTTGGGAGCATCAGACCAAAGGTATGGTAGATGTAATTGCTATGGAGGACAAGGATCTGTGAATTTTAGGGTTTGGAAAGTGATAGAGCATTCAATTCTCAGTAGGGTACAGACGGGGAGCGTGGTTGGTGAGGCAGGAGACATCATGACTAAATATTTTGATAGTAGTGATTCAGCTGGAGGCATGAGGAGAAGTCTGAAGGACTTTTGTACAAACTTAATCCGGTTTTCAAAGTAAAAAGGCTTTTAATAGAGTCAAAGATAACTTTATTTACTCAATATGCAAGTAATTTTCCTGCTGGTGAGGAGATATGATGCTAACAGCTATTTACTTCCTTGTAATAGTAACCCCAGTACTTCAGACATGTTTCTGTAATGACTGGACTGAAGAGTCTTTCAGCTGCAGAGCTGAGGCTTTTATGTTTTCAGCACATTATACAAATTCCATTCTCCAGCAGCATAATTTGAGACCAAAGATGTTATAGTAACCCAGATGTAGATGAGAACTCTCAAAGGGGTTTTGGGCAGAGCTTTGGTACTTTCGACCAAAATTACTGTTCCAAAAACTTCTGCTCAGAAGTCATTTGACCCTGGAGTTGTCCAGATTTATCACTCACTGACCTGCCTGACCTGAGAGTTACAGTGAGTTCTCTTCAGCTGTGCTTGAGCAGCTCTCTGCCCCTCTGCCCCCCAGCCCTGCTGGGCCTGAAGAGCTGTTCCCTAATCCCTTGGTGCTGCTGTGCTGGCAATTACTGCCCACAGAGACAAAGGTACAGTCACAGGCAGCATCCTCCCGGGTTCTGCTGTGGCAACTGGGGAGAAAATAGCAACCCCAAGTACACTGGTGCACCTGTGTTCCCAATTTCAGTCCTCCAGAATCTCTGACCATAAAGATGGTGGGTAAATGAGGCTGTGTTGTGTTCTGTAATTATTTTTGAAGAGTTTAAAAAACTCATGGTGCTCACGAGGCTGCTGACAGAGCAAGGGATAATGTGACTAAAAGGAAAGAAGTGTATTCATAGGCTTCAGTTTCTTTTACTGCAATGAGGAACCCATTTCTGTGCCAGTTCTGGTAAGTGATGAGCCATTGATAGGTGATTGCAGTAACCCCAAAACACTGCCAAAACCACTTTTGCAGCTAGTTCCAGTAGGATCTTGAGTCCATAACTTCTCCTGGGTACTCCACAGTTAGGAGTTGAGTGAAGTTAACAGTTCAAATGTTATGTGCAGGCAATTCTTGATTAAGGTGGTGAGGGTTTCACTGGAGGCTTGTTATGCAAGGGAAGGACAAACATTACAACAAGGAAAGACAGTGGGAGACTTCTGATTAATAAAGTGATATCATGCTTTACATTCTTGAAGTATAGAGAATTAATAATTTAAATCACTTCACAGACTTACCATCATCCAGTCTATGCCAGAACCAGCACTGGTGCTATACTTTTTGTTTTGTGTATACACAGCCTTGGAAACCTAAAGCTGAAATTGTGTGTGAATAATCTGGACATTACAAATATGAAAGTACCATGTCAAAAAATGGAGCAGTAGCAGTAGGTTGGTCAATGAATTTTTAGTGTTTAAGTCCACAGAGAAATGGTAAAGACCACTTTGGTTATGACCAGCCTTGGAGCCTCATGAAGAAGCTTCCTGTGTAGTGCAAATCTTTCCCTTTTATTTATTTTTGTAATTCATTTATTCATTTCAGGTTTTGGTACGGATGAGATTGTAAATTCCTGGTTTATGTAATATCCAGGATAGCATTCCACCCTTTATGTGGCCAGAGACAAATACACTTCTGATCACATTCTTGTGTCAGAAGTGTTACTGATTTCCATTCACACTCTCCACCAAAGTAAATTGAGCCCGGTGGGTACTGAATAGAATATTTCCAACCCAGGCCAGGCCTTGCTTAGCACCATTTGTCAGTAATGGAATATTCTTTAAATCATTCTTTAGCACTTTGTAAACTTCCTCACGTGGTGGGTTATGTCACAGGCATTGCCTTTTGTTTAGGGACACTTGAGCATGAGGACTTGATGCTAAACAAAAATCTCTCCTCCGTGGTGTTTGGCTCATTTTCAAATGTCATAAGGAAGTAATCTTTACTGTGATGCTATAAAGAAGAGGAATGCACGCCATTTCTGGGAGAGACAAATAATATTCTCTCATATCTTCTTTAGAGGAAAGTTTCTTATTTGTAAAAGCTTTTAACGTGGCATTATAAATTGTGCCTTCATATAAAACTTTGATAAGCTGCAAACTGAACAGGAAACACATCTTTGAGTCTTAAATACTCAATATCATGATATCTGTTCATTGTGAGAATCCCTGACCTTACACTGTAAGGATGAGCTGTTAGAGCTTTATGCTCCACAATGTCACGTCCCTCAGTGTCACCCCAAAGATAGGGATGGTTTGGGGTGAGCAGTGTCTTGGCCAGAGCAGTCCAAAGCAAGCCCCTGGCCCACAGCACTGCTGGACACAGAGCTGCACTGCCCACTTGGTCTGTCCCTGTCCTGCAGCATTGCCTGCTGCTCAGAGCTGATCTGCCTCTGCTGGAGCACGAGCCAGCTGGTGCATCTTTCAACTTTTCTATTATTTGATTAATTTATCTTATACTTCTGTCAAGCCAAGTTTTATGAAATAGTGTTAACTGAAGTATCCACCAGTCATCAAGTACTCCTTTCAGCTTGTGATTAAGCAGGGCAGACACATTACTTTAAAAAAACCCTGTTCGTTGAGGACTATTTTCTGTTTTCCTCATAATTGTGTTTGATATTTAAAATAAGTTTTTAAAAGTTTAGAAGCAGAGGGAGGCATCTGTCACTTGCACCTTAGAGCTTAAGGGTGTTTGTGTTTGTCAGTGGGGAGAGGTCCCTGGCATTGCTCACTTGGAGAGTCCAAGGAGGAAAGTTCTGGGACTGCTGTTTGCTGCCCTCACCTGTGGACACTGAACTTACCCCTTCTGTAACTATCAACCTGGGTGACTTTTCCCCCAGAAGAATCTGCCTTCATGTTCTGCAGGAATCCATTCTGAAAAGGATTCATTTGATTTTTGTTTTTTAATCAGCAGCTTCTGAGCCAGCTTGGTTTGGGTGCTTCCAGAATCATTCAGGCAAAAGACTTCCCAGCCCATGGAGTCCAAGCTGTGCCCCATCCCCACCCTGTCCCCAGCCCAGAGCACTGGGTGCCACATCCAGCCCTTCCTTGGACACCTCCAGGGATGGGCACTGCAAACCTCCCTGGGCAGCCCCTGCCAATGCTAGACAACCCTTTCTGTGAAGAAACTCCTTCTGCTGTCCAACCTGCACCTCCCCTGGCACAGCTCGAGGCTGTATCACTAGCCCATATAAAATATTTTCTTTCAGCTGCAGCTGCACAACTTCAGACTGAGTGGCCTCATTACCTTTGGGCTTCCTTCTGCTGGGGTTCAGCATCATCTGTTCAAACAACACTGCACTTAATATCCTTTTAGTGTTACACCTTATATTTTGCACCATCTCTGGTATTCATTCTTGTTGAGAGGAGTTTAAAACTGCTGGTGTTTT